CAACCACTTCTGTGGAACCTCAGAATATCCCAAGTTGGAAGGGACCCACAGGACCACCAAGTCCAACAGCATCACCAGGACCTCAAATTAACCCAGGCTGCTAACCGACACGTCACCCCCAGCCCCCTCCTTGCTGTTAACGAAGTGAAGAAATGGCCCACCGACCCAGCTGGCTCTGCTGACAGCCACCAGGCCGAGCTCCTCGCTGAAGCACCCAGCGTTCATTGCTCATGAGCTAATTAAGAAACTCCCCATCAGCTGCTGAAAGACCTGAAATTGGGCAAGCCTGGTACAGTCAGCAAGTCCCAACCCAGCACTTACTCACTGCCAGGAGGAGGCGTCCCCTCCAGTCACTCCCTGCAGGGTGACAACAGGTAGCGTCGATGCCCCCTGACCCCCTAATTACACCGCTGAAATAACGAGCCCTGGGATTTGTTGTTCTTGGAGCCACGTGCTGGCTGTCCCGCACCGCGCAGCCCGTTGCTTAGCCCTGTGACCCACTGCTCACCCACGGTCACACCGGCCAGAAGAGGTGAGCGCTGCTGCTGAAAGATCACTTAATTAGGATGGATTAATGACACCGAGTCCGAGCTGGAGCAGACAGAGCAGTTCAGCGAGCAGGGCCTGATGGTGAGACAATACAGCTCCACGAAGGCAAGTTTTAGAGCCACCGCATCCAGCCACGTATGGGGAAGAGATCACAGAGCTCAAATACACAAAAAATTCACGAAATCCTTAAGCCAGAGCCCAGCCCACGGCTTTCCTCCCACCACTCCCACGCCTGGGCGCAGCTCGTGGCACACGGCGCTGCCATATCCATGCAGCAGCCCACCACGTCCCCCCCAAAGCACGGCCAACGCCGAGGAGCTCAGCAGCTCGACAGGTGAGGCCATGAAACCCGATCACTGCAGACAATGTCGTCCCCCCAGCGTCGTGCTGGGAAGGCCTCATCACGTGCGTCGTATCGGGCAACATGCTGGAAGCGCAGCGGAGCGCTGAAACCCCGGCGACACGAATAATCTTTGCCATCTGTTTGAACAACTCAACCCTCCTCAGATCTGGAGGAATGATCCCATGCGAACACAAGGGCCTTGCTGACTGATTCCAGCAGCCCCAGCCCCGCGATTCGGGGCCGTTTGCTAAGGAAATTGGCCTGGTGGTGTTGGAGGGGCACACGGGACCCCGAGCCTATGGGCAGGGCGCTGGGAACCCCCACTCGCCCCAGCACAGCGCAACGCAAAGCCAAGATTTGTTCATCTACATATCACGTATCTCTATATAAACATTGTATATTACAATATAGATCGATTAACAGATGCATCTAATATTTTTAGCTTTTTTTTTTTTTTTAAACGTAAAGCAAATAAAATCTCAACAGGATTGGCAGAGCAACCCTGGAGAATGCAACCATCCCATTGGGATGTGCTCACTGCCAGCAGCGCAGCCCCGGCATTGCACTGGGGGAACTGCTCTTCGCCCAGCTATGGGGCTTCCACACAAAGCTGCTGAGAGAATTGCCTCCATTCACAGCGATGAGAAGCCTCCAGGAGCGATGGGAGCTGTTAGCAAGTGCCTGGCTGGGGGGACAGAAGGCATCAGGGGTGTTACACTCACTGCCACCTTAAATTCAGGCTTTACAATGGCCAAATGCAGGCTAAAACTCCGTCTCGCTCAGATTTACCCTGGTTTCAGCATGGCTACAGCCACCCGATGTGTAACCTTTCCTCTGCTTCTCACACACACCCACCCTGGGGGCCAAAAAGGACGCTCCTGGGGGCAAAAACAGCAAACAACACCAAAGGAGGATTTTTCCCATCATTCGAGAATCGGCACAAAGCAGCACCCTGTGCAATAACATCTCCACTGCTTACTGGGGTGACCTGGAGTTTAGGAATGCACTGCACATAAATGGATCTGAATCATTCGGGGGGGGGGGGGGGGGGGGGTAAATATAAAAAAACAAAAAAAAA